GTCCCACCTTGCACTGGGAAGAGCATTTTTATTGATGTGGCTTCAAAAGAACTTGCAGGTTACCAGAGTGGTCCTGCTTACACTGCTGCAGGGTCCCAGCCTGGCATCTCCCCACCTGCACAACACTGAGGCCAACTGAGGACTCGAGAGAGGAGCCTCCCACTCATTTTTTAAAAACAGAACTGATATTAAAGGAAATTAACATAAGTAATATTTCAGCATTTAACTCTTCAGAGAAGCAGGCTCTTCCCGTAGGGTCACTTACCTGCATAGAACAGAAGCAGAACATGCCAGGTAGGACCCAGATTTGTCTCAAAGAGATGCCAAGAGTGAAACTAGTGCTCTGCAGTCATGGCAGCTGTCAATCAGCTGCAAATTTTGGAAACTGGGGGTAGGGAGACTGAAGGAACTGGTAGGGACTCTGCTTTCCCTCCCAGCAGGAAATTTAAATCAAGGAGGAGTCAGGAAGCTACAGGCTGGATTGGATCAGGTCCACTTTCCCTTCCAGATATCTCTTGGGGACAACCAACATCCTCCAACTCCAGGAGATCTTTCTGCTGGGGACTCAGGAGGAGGAGAAATCAGGAGAAGTCAGGAGGCTACAGGCTGGATTGGATCAGGTCCACTTACTTTCCCTTCCAGATATCTCTTGGGGACAACCAACATCCTCCAACTCCAGGAGATGTTTCTGCTGGAGACAGTTACTGAGCTCTATCAGGAACTGCAGTAAACAATTCCTGGTGCTCTCCCTACCTGTACAGGTTCTCATGCAGGCCACTCACTGCATCACTGGTGACATTTGAGCCTCAAGCACTAGGCACAGTTTGATTCTCTATCCCTGCTTACAGCAGATTCCAAGAGCGCTGGTTCAGGAGCAGCATCATTGATTTCTTCTAATTATAAATCCTATAGAAAGTTTGCAGGTTTCAGCAGTCATGGTTTTCCTCCCAGTGGAGCCAATAAAAGTTAAGAGTTGCTCCCTGGTTCCTGTCATTACAACACTAAAAAGCCAGAGTAATTGAAAAGTGGATCAGGGAAAGTGCCAGATTGGAGAAGAATGATAATAGAAGACATTACCCGGGAGCCCAAGCCCAGTGCAAAGTCTTGTCTCTGGCTGCACCGAGGTTGAAGCCCATTCAGGACAAACTTCTGTGCTGACACATGTCTAACAGAGGACATGCCTCCTGTGTGAAAGTACCAGAGCATAGAGCAAAGCAGGAGCAATGTCCATGTGCCTGCCAACAGGCCAAACACTCAGTACATGAGCCAACAAGAGTGATTTTGAACCCCATCTGAGATGGTTCCTCTTCCTAAAAGGCAAAATGAACAATAAATAAAAATAATTTCTCCCTATATTTGCATAAAGCTTAAAAGGAAGAGCTGAAGATGCAGCAACAGATGCACATTCATCAAGACAACAATTTTTTTTCCCACAGGAAGACCCAAAAACCCACAAGTAATTACCGTTTCCACGTTGTTAAGATTAGATGATAACCATGGAATCCACGTAGCTCAAAGCAAAGCAACAAGTAGCATCACAGTAGACTCTGCAAAAGCTTGTTAGTGGCAATGCTGGCATAGAGGGAGACCAGAATAGACTTCTAGGAGTGAGAGGAAGGGAGCAGCATATGCCAACAGAGGCAGTGGTGTGTCCTGAGGTGAATTATCACATCTGGAGCTCTGGAGGCAAACATGAAGGAACAGAAGGTTGACCTGGAGATGTTGTTCTTCCAACACAGTCATCTTGGGACATAGTGAGGCAGATCCTGAAGCAGTCAATTGTCTTTTCCTCTCCACAAGGACAGGATGCATGCACCTTATCAGAGGTCCCTTGTCCTCAGGTATCCTGCCCATGTAAAGTCTGTGAGCACTTCCAGAAAGTCTTAAGGAGGCTCACACATCTCTGCAGATATCCTGAAAAAAGGATGCAAGTAAAGAGCAGGTCTCACACACTGCTCTGGGCTGTGAAAGGCTCACAGGGGTGATGATCCATCTGGTGATGGGTGAACACAGGTTTTGGACAGCTTCTAGGAAGACTGTTCCCTGACAGAGGAAAAAACAAACCCATAAACTACAGCAAAAAAAGTTTGTATTGGTCTCAGAGAACTGTCCCTGAGCCATGAACAGGAAAAAAACTCCAACACAGGTCTAACATCTCTGGAGTTGTTCAAAACCCACCTGGACACTTTCCTGTGCAACCTGGTGTAGGAAACCTGCTTTGGCAGGGGGGTTGGACTAGATGATCTCCTGAGGTCCCTTCCAACCCCTGTGATTCTGTAATTCTGTGATCACACACTGGTGTGATGGGCTGGAGTAACCACATGCAGATGGGCTGCTCCTGTTGATATATGAAGTGACCAGTAGCATGAAATTATGAGTTCAGCACGTGGGTGGGCGCAGAAAGATGCTGTGGGCCAAGTTCAAGTTTCCCCAAGATAAAGACCCCTAAGGAATGCAGGATTGGGTGGTAGGTGAGAAGTCATTGCTTTAAACTCCATGGCACTGGTGTGCAATTAGTGCTGCAGGAAGCCAACTTGGAGGGCTGCAAGCCCTGGGCAGCCTCACGGCACTTGTCAAACCTCCACTAACGACACCTCTGTAAGAACCATATGAATTAACCCCCATTTCCACACCTCTGGTTGCCAAGAGAAACGCTTTTTGGAATCATGCTGGTTGTGAAGAGCACAGCTGCTCGATTTTACTTGCTTTTATTTTTTTAACATTAAAGAAAGCAGAATATGGGCGCTGAGATTTCCTCATGGACAACAAAACAGGCTGGAAATTTGTGACTAAATACCCCGGGGGGATTTGCAAACCAGCTTTGAACTGTGCAACAAGGAGCCACTGGTGACAATTATGCGCTCGCTATTTTTAGCTCGGTGGTGTGAACGCTGAATCCCCTGAGGAACAAGGACAGCAGACCAAGCACCAAGCCCACCACACTTGCTTTTCAGAGAACTCATCTGGGGCAAAACCAGAAACTTTGGCTTTTGCCCCCGCCGTCCACTTTTCTGCAGCTTTTGTGCACCAGGTGTTTGACTGTTGCAGGAGATAAATAAATAGGGTTGTAGAAATCAGTACTTCTAAGAATAGATGGATAAATATATATAGGGCAAAGGGATCTGGGAGTGCTGGTGGACAGCAGGATGACCATGAGCCAGCACTGTGCACTCGTGCCCAGGAAGGCCAATGGCATCCTGGGGTGCATTAGAAGGGGGGTGGTTAGTAGGTCGAGAGAGGTTCTCCTCCCCCTCTACTCTGCCCTGGTGAGGCCACATCTGGAATATTGTGTCCAGTTCTGGGCCCCACAGTTCAGGAAGGACAGGGAACTGCTGGAGAGAGTCCAGCACAGAGCCACCAAGATGATGAAGGGAGTGGAGCATCTCCCTGCTGAGGAAAGGCTGAGGGAGCTGGGTCTCTTTAGCTTGGAGAAGAGGAGACTGAGGGGTGACCTCATTAATGTTTATCAATATGTAAAGGGTGAATGTCAGGAGGATGGAGCCAGGCTCTTCTCAGTGATGCCCAATGGTAGGACAAGGGGCAATGGGTGTGAGCTGGAACACAGGAGGTTCTGCTTAAACTTGAGAAGAAACTTCTTTACAGTGAGGGTGACAGAGCCCTGGGACAGGCTGCCCAGGGAGGGTGTGGAGTCTCCTTCTCTGGAGACATTCAAGACCCACCTGGACACCTTCCTGTGTGATGTCATTTAGGTTCCTGCTCTGGCAGGGGGATTGGACTGGGTGATCTTTCGAGGTCCCTTCCCATACCCCTCATTCTGTGATTCTGTGATTCTGTGAGCATGTACAATCTGCCTATGCACACCCAGATACACATAAATATTTCAGAGCCCAGATTTAATCAAAGTCCACTTATTTTTCTTAGTTAACCGCTTGGAGGATTAACAATTTTGTCTCTGTGTGATGAGGTGTGCAGCAGTGGTCAGGGAAGACAACCTTAGATAACGCACCGAGCAGCTCCGAACTGATAAGGTTTGTCCTGTGCTTATCAGGCTGGGGGGGGGCAGGAAGGAGCAGGAATTTCTTGCTGCACTGTTTCCGAAATGCCTGATCTGATCTCACGTTATCACCACACTCTCAGTTGCAGAAATGGGCTCAAATTTGCCTCGCCTCTCATCCACTGTAGCGTTAAGCCTTTGTGTTTGGCTTTTCTGAGGTTTCTTGAAGGTGGGTAGTTTAGAAGAAGGTGGACAAGTGCTGGTGCTCACTGTTTGCTCACAGGCAAGCCCATGTTTGGGGCTATAAAGACTGAGAGTTCAAGGTGCTGTTCAGAGGATGATTGTCTGCAGCACAGTGGGAGACTCAGGGTGACTCGGAGTGTTTCCATCCTTCTTTACTGACTGCACAGATGGCTCAGAGAGACTCATCTCCTCACCTGGCACTGCGAGTCAGCCAGTGTGAATGCCCTCTCTTCTGTACCATTAGTAGATATTAATACCAAAAACCTTACACATGTGCAAAGTTCCTCTGCTGCAAAATGTTCATTTCTATGTATTCTGCAGGAATCTTCTGGTTTTAATATCTGGTGTGTGTAAGAACAACATTTACCTACTGGACATACAGAAGTCTGCTAAGAGGGAAATGTTCTCTGCTTGTGCTCATTACACAGGCACAACTGGAGGGTTAGAAGGAAAAAAAGGGGGTAGAGACAAGGTTGTGGCTCATGGCAAGGTGTAAGATCTACCAGGGGAATCTTTCAGGGTTTTATGTCTGTTGGGATGATGAGGACTGATACCAGAGTGCTGCATCTACAGCCTGGAAGACCATCCCTGGCACAAGGCTGTGTTTCTCTACTGCTCTCCCGGCACTGAGTAAGCTGGCAAGAGCTCTAGCAACATCCATTTGCAACATTCACACTGTTAGTGTTAAATGAACCCCAAAGAACAAAATTTGCAAAATTATGTTGAGTTGGTGGAATGAGGTTGAAAAAAAAACCCACAAGTGGGGAACTGCAGCATGCCCATGTGCCTCTCTTTCTCCAAGTCCCATACCTGTTACTGGTGGCTGAGACTAACCCAGTCCTCTTCCCACAGTTCGACATGCAGAGGATAACGCTAGAAGAGCTGAAACACATCCTCTACCATGCCTTCCGGGACCACTTAACGATGAAGGACATTGAGAACATCATTATCAATGAAGAGGAGAGTTTAAATGAAAATTCTGGCAACTGCCAAACAGAGTTTGAAGGTGAGATAGAAAGTTTCTGTGTTTCTGTACGATTATTCTCTTTCTGCTTCAGCTATAAAACCCACTCTGATCCATGACATGCAGTGGGCAAGGATGCATGGAGTTGGTATGGAGTTATTTTAAGTGTAAGTAGCAATGACACACTTGGAGAGCTCAAGACCTGCCGTTAGCTTTCTTCCACGTAGTCTAAGCAAAGCTGATCCTGTTTCAGGCAGGAGGATGAACTAGTGGGTGCTTTGCCTTATGGCCCTCCTTTCTCTGGTGGGATTCGGGCAGAGGGATGTGCAGTCCATGCTGAGATGTGTCTAAGACAGACCAAATTTCCATACAGAAATATGGATCTCTCTCTCAGCCTGTCATGGAAAGATTTTATTGGCACTGGGTCCTGCCCTAGGAAGCTGTGGTAGGCTCCTCCACCAGTTTTCTGTTGCCTTTCCATAAAAAGAAAAGTTCTTCTGTTCTGGGGAGAGTCCTCTCTCTGCCTTGTATCACCAGCAACAAGCAGAGACGGTGCATCCACTGGTGTGGAGCTGCAATATGCTACACAGGTACATCCCAGGACAGCTCAACGCATGTGAGATTGTCTGCAAGGTCAAGGTCTAAGCCATCCTCAGAACTAGCTAGAGAAAGGGAAACATGTGCTTTGGCAGCTGTAGCTTGACACAGCATCCTCTCAGAAACTTCAGAAGGAACTTCTTTACAGTGAGGGTGACAGAGCCCTGGGACAGGCTGCCCAGGGAGGGTGTGGAGTCTCCTTCTCTGGAGACATTCAAGACCTGCCTGGACGCCTTCCTGTGTGATCTCATTTAGGTTCCTGCTCCGGCAGGGGGATTGGACTGGATGATCTTTCGAGGTCCCTTCCAATCCCCAACCTTCTGTGATTCTGTGATTCTCAGCAGTGCCACAAGACCACTAGGTGATCAGCAGCTGGAATCAGACACAACATTTACAGTGGATTTTGCACTTTGAATGGAGCCAATGTAGGCAAGAACATTCCCCATTTTAAGCCACCTTGTGAGAAGGATTTTCTTGACTAGAGAAACTTGTGCTGCTCTGAATCATTGCTGGTCTGTTGATGACACAAAACATCTCAAGTGCAAAAAAGTCCAGGGAGATACCTACAGAGAACCTCAGGGTTTGTGCACATCACCCTGGGGCAGCTACTGTGCTTTCTCACCCACAGCAAAGCCACTTTATATAGGCCATTTTGGGGGAAATTCAGATACTCTGAGGGGTCAATAGAAAGGGCACCAGGCAGGGGCACCAAAGCGTCTTTAAAACAAAGCAACGGATAAACATATTAGTGCAATTCTTAGCTTGGCTAATGAATGGGATTCAGCAGCTATATCCACCACACTCACCTTCTGCTAAATACTGCAGAAAAGATGTAGAAGAGCACAGCTGAATTTTAAAAAGCCTGCAGGAGGGAGGCAAGCAGCCATGCTCTTCGAATTGAGCCAAGCAACATGGGGTTTTTTTGTTCCTCCTGGAGAGCAGCAGGGAGGAAGAGATGCTTATTTACATGAATGGAGCTGTTAGTCCCCACTGACCTGCTGATTCAGTGGAGACATGAGCCAGCTGTCACCACAGTGAGAGGCACACAGGCTTCTTTCAGCTTCGGTACTTGGGTGAACTATCCCAGTCACACACACAAAAAAAATGGGTCCGAAAACCTAAATGCTCAGTATCTCATTTTGGAAGTCCCAGCTTCCAAAAGTACAGCAAGAACAGCTTTTCTCGTGGGATGTTGGCATTACTGGTGCCAGGCAGAACCTAGAAGCAAAACAGACCCTTTTTTTAGATGTTGTTAGAAACACACACACACACACACACACACGAATCCACCAGAGAATAAAGATCAACTGAACCCTGTCAACTAAGATGCAAAGTTTTGCTTCAGGCCTCAGAAGAAGGGAACGGTTCTGGTCCATGGCAGTTCTGACATGAGCATTTCCCCCAGGAAAGGCAGGCTGAGAGCAGGTGGCATCCCTGCAGCTCTTCACCCTGGATGTGCCATTACCTCAATGACCCACTTGTGCCCTTGGCGTTCCCATTTCCCAAACACTAAGATCTCTACAGTGCTTAAAAGTAGAAATTATGGGGCCTCATGGTATGGTAAAGGAGTGCTCTCATGAAGGCTGCACAGCATCTCAGTCGAGCTTTAATTGGCTGTACAGAAGCATCTCTGTGTAAGTCATCACCCTTTATTCACTTATTAATTAGTGGAGTGAAGGAAATGCCTTTTGGGTGTAATTCCTCAATCTTATTTTAGGTGCTACCTCAGGATGACATGAATTGCACCTCACAAAGCACCTATTTCTTTCAACTCTAAAGGTAGCCTAAAGGGACTAGCTTAGAGGTTCACATCTATATTTAATGTACATTTAATCCAATCCACTGAAGTGCCTTTAATTACAGGTGGAAGTGAAACCAAGATGAGCCCCAGTGGTTTTCACTGAGATTTGGGAATGGCTCCTAAGGGAAGAGACATAGTAGATACTTTCAGTAGTACCATGCTGAAATGGGAGATCTCCACTCACTGTCATCTCCGAGTATGTTCTTACCATCAAAGAGAAGCCCCAAAACCCTTCTCTGTGCTGTGGACAGAGACATTCCCCCTTCTCCCCACCTAAGGTTAGCTGGCTCAGCCCCACCAGCTGAGCATTGCACAGGTAACATGGCCGTTGGTACAAATATGTGCAGTTTTCCATCATTCTCACAATTTTGCCATCTTGGCTTCTTGTCATAATAAAGTCTTTCCAACTATGCAATATTCTTTCTATATCAACATGGATGATTTACCTTATCTCTCTCTCCCACACTCATATACACACACACACAACCACACACACGCTGTAGCCCAAGTATAATATTCATATTACAGTCAGGGACAAGTCCAGGATCTTGTTCAGTTCTCTCTGAACATTAGCATCATTTGCAAGATGTCAGATCTGGGCTTACATTACAACTTCTCCTCCTACGCATTTCTAGAGGTTTTCATTTGCCTTTTCCTCAATGAAGAACAAAGCCATGAACATGTCCAACTCCTCAGCACACGCAGCCCACACCAGCCCTGCCGATAAAGAATACAACCAGGAGGGAGGTACATTATGTCTTCAGCCTTTCTCTCACTTTTTATTAATGTTTAGGGCAGGAAAATGAAGTCGAGAGCCACAAAGAATGTATGTTTTGATGAGAAGAGAGACAAGAAAAGGACAACTCTTTGCAGCGACGTTGTACTACTGAAAATTTATAGTATAAAAATCCTTTGGCTGGCAGTTCCCTTTATCCAAACACTCACGACATTAAGCTCGTGGCAAAGTGTGTCTGTTGGTTACGGTGACTCGTGCTGTCTGCTACGGGTGTTTCATCCTCAGCCCTGACACTCAGATGAGCTGGATGTACAAGAGCTGCTGCAGCTCCCCTCCTTGCTCCCCCCAGACAAGCACTGCTCCTCAGCTCAGGGCTTGGGAATGAAAAACTGACCTCTTAAACCAAAAATAACTCTAGCCAGACAGAGAAAGCAAATATCACTCACCTTTGACAGGGTTATAACAGAATCCACTATAAATCTGCTGTAGCTGTTCATGTTAGCAAGCCTTTTTCTGCAGGCAAGGAGGCTCTCAGCACTTACCCTGACCATCTCAAACCCACCATGAGCATCGTGACCATCCCAGCAGCCACAGCCAGTGGACTGATGCACCCTGAGATGAGCTGGACCCATTAACCCCACGTAGTCATGCAGAAGTTACAGCGATGGTAGCTCTGTCTCTGCCACTAGTGACACTACGGTGAGTCCTACTGGCCAGACTGTCCTCCACATGCTGAGAAGATGAAGGGTGATCCAGCCTTGGTTGGCTTTTTCTTCTTGAGATCTCATTTACATTGCACAGCCTGTGAGTTGCTCTCTCCCTAAGAAGGGGCCAAGACATCTCCAGAGGAGCTTCAGACTCTGACCATGTTCAAGGAACCAGCTCATGTCCAAACCCTGGCATACCCCATGGATACTAAAAACTCCTGCTGGCAACCAAATGCAAAACAGATCGAGCATCCAGCCTGTGACAACGCCAGCTGTGGAAACCAGCAGGAAAAAGCACAGATGCCATCCTCAAAGGATCTATTAATTTTGAGAAAGGAGAGAAGTGAAGGCAAAAACTCACCAGTTAGCGGGAGGGAAGCAAATGGATCTTCATATTTAAGATGGCAATTCACAGGGCAGCACGTAGCTGTGTTCACAGTGAAGAAAGTCAATCATTTCAGCTTCTTTGTCTCCCTGTGGACTGCAAGGGGGCAGAGGAACTGAAATACTCATTTTCCTGCTGGAGTAATTCCTGCTGAGCCTCAGCCAGCAGCAAGAGGGTCTCTCTGGACCTGCAACACCTCTACATTTCTTCATAGACCTTTCCTCTTTCTTCTGGAGTTAGTTGGTAGGTTATTTGGCTATTTGGTGTACCTTCAGTTGGTAAAGAACAGTGTAAAAATGACTTATCTGGATCCTGCTGCCTTAAAGCTCTATTTTTACTTGATGGTATAACAGAAGGCTGAAGAAATTGTTCAATTCAGGAACATTTCTGCAAAAAACCACTTAACATGCTTTACTCTTTTCCTTTGAATAGAAGAGTTGCCATCACAAAAAGCCTTGGCTGATCTTTGACTGCTGCTCCCAGTCACCATAATCAGCACCAGAGCCCCACACTGAACAGCAACGCTGACGGTGATGGCTTGTGTCACTGCTCTGTCTGTTGGCCAGGAGTGTTTTTCAAAGGACAGAAATAATAGGAAAATAAATAAAGCTTGTGATTTAACAAGCTTTTAAAAGCGCCAGGGCATCGTGCAACAAAACCAAGGAACGTCAGTATTGATTCTGCGCGCGTTACAAAAGCCAGCGAAGGAATCGAGTAGAGCAAAGCAGTGCGAGGAGAAAGCAAGTCATTTAGGAGAGCTGCCCTAAGGGGGATTCATTATCTACCCAGAATATAGTGAGTCCCTTGGAGCGCTGGCAGTGCCACGTGTCCCTGCCTTGGGCAGTCTGACTCAAAGTCCTCAAATGAGGACTGAGCTGGTGCTGGGGACCACGTGGGAGCTGGGATTAGGACACAGGCATTGCTAAATCCCAGCCAGAGGAGGTGAGGAGGGGATGAAACAAGTGTTCAAAATGCAGCAGCCAGTGCTCCCCACTCTCTGTGCGATGAGGTTCAAGCCTGGATCAGAACAAGGGGTTTTTTTTCATATATTCTAAAAATGTCCTCCTGGACTTTTCCAAGTATGGATGCTTCAGAGCCTTTTCCTAGTTGCATTTTAAGTTTATGGTAATTTTGAGCTTGTCAACCATCTGAAATTCTCCCATCATCATCTCCCAGCTCTGTTCCAGCTAAAAACCAGGATGTAAGTATGACCATCCATGAGAAAAAGGCGATGGGTACATCACTTCTCAGGCCAAAACAAGCCCATGCATTACTGCCCATAGCAGCAGGGCAGAACTATCCACCCCTTGTGTGAGGATCTGTGATTATCTTGGGGGACCTTCAGAGCCTTTTCAAACAGATTAATCTTCATAGCATCCCAATACCACATATTGTTCTGATATTCATAGGTAGGAAGGCTAAAACAGAGATACCAACTGTCTTTAGGAAGTCACAGCATGAATCCTCATTGCCAACCTTAAAAAAAAAAAAAAATTAAAATAAATAAGTCTGAGACTAAAAATCCCAACTCCATCTGCATCTTAACTGCCATAAATTACCCTCATCTTTTTTGACAGTTATTCTGCAAGCTTTCATTTGAGAAGGTTCTTAATAAGTCTGATTTTGTTTAGGCACAGAAAACCTAAAGGCAGTTTGGAAAAATGACTGACATGGGTGCATACCCATGGGAACTATCACAGTGGGGTTTTAAGTGTTATTGGGATCACATCTTGAGTCTCTGCTCATTCCCAGTTGACCTGGATGAGTCTAAAGGATTCACAGAAGACCAATATTTCCAATTAAAGAACTTTAGAGAGATCTTCATAAAGAGCTTAAAAGAAATACACAGGTAAACCAAACACCTGCAAACATTTGGAGGGTTTAAAAGCCAAGATGAGAGAGAAAGGACTTCCTGCAGTATGAGAGAGTGGTCTATTGTAATGGCTCCAAACTGGAAGAGGGGAGGCTTAGATTAGACATTAGGAAGAAATTCTTTGGTGTGAGGGTGGTGAGACACTGGCCCAGGTTGCCCAGAGAAGCTGTGGCTGCTCCTCCCTGGAAGTGTTGAAGGCCAGGTTGGATGAGGTTTTGAGCAACCTGGTCTAGTGGAAGGTGTCCCTGCTGATGGCAGGGGGTTTGGGAATGGATGATCTTTAAGGTCCCTTCCAACCCAAACCAGTTTGGATTCCATGATTCTATGATTCTGTTAGAGAAGTCAGTTTGGAAGCAGTGGAAGGTGAATTATTTGGAAATGTCCCAGAAGGGAGAGGTAAAACTTGGCCAGCACAGGGGATCTCAGAGATGTGGACTAGAGGGTTATGCTAAGGTAAAAATCAGAGGAAAAGGAGGATTTCTGAGCTCAACTGATCCTGGTGGAAAGCAAAAACATTACTTTGAACATCTCATCTTTCCCATGTCTTCCCTGCAGTGCACGCCCAGAAGCAGAACAGACAGACCTGCGTACGGAAGAGCCTTATCTGCGCATTTGCCATGGCCTTTATTATAAGCGTGATGTTGATTGCGGCCAACCAGATCCTGCGGAGCGGCATGGAGTAGCCTCTCACCATGACACTGTGATCCAATCTGACCATGCATGCGCATGCCACCGGGTGAGCTTCCCCCCGAAACCGACTCTCACACGGCAAAGACAGAGGCAGGCAGATAAAGCACTTATCCGACAAGGAGCCTGAGGCCAGCAGCGTAATGTGTCTTGTGAATCAACTACATCCTTTTGGCAGGGACATAAAAGGGCTGTCTTAATGCTTTAAAGGTTTTGTTTCCTAATGCAATAAAAAAAAAAAAAATTATATATATATAAATATATATATATATACTGGAGTTTCGAATTATTGCTTCAAAACAGCAATGGCAACTTGGACGAGACTTTCATCCAGCAGCCTGGTTTGCAGTTTTAAGGAGGCACAGCCTCATGACTTATTGCAGCGGGGCTGTCTTTTAACCTAGGGGCTGACTGACTATTTCAGGTAGCTCTCTGCTGGGCCTACCTTCCCAGGAAGTTGATCGTAGCATTGCCACAAGCAAGTCCTCTTCGTTTTACTTCACGTACTCCAGCCTCCAGGTTCACTTTGGTTTTTTTCCCTTATGACCATGCCTTTGAGTTCATGGCATTAGAGGGGAGCTAGAGCAACCTTGTACAGTATTTTCAGAGGAAAAAAAAAGGGGAGAATTTGCCAGCATCATGCAAAATTTCTATTTTTGCTTCGTAAACGTCGCCTTTGACACAAGACTGTGGGGTAGAAAGTGTCCGTTTGCCATTTTTTTTCTGACCGTGAATCAGGGCTTGAGAAGCATCACCCGATCTCACACATGGGCATTTCTGTAGATTTGTGCAAAGTCTTCCAACCGACTCTGCAACCACCAGCGCCAGTTAAAGCTCCCTTGATTTGGACCCATCTACATAGTCAACAGCATTTGCTTTCGAGCAGTTTTGCCTTTCTTCTATATTGGTCTTCAATAAACTTATCTGAGATGAAAATCGTGAAAAATCCCCTCTCCTTCCCTGCTTGGTTTTTATTTATTTCGTTTTATATACCTGGTTGTAATCTGCAGTGAAACCTCCATGTCAGACACCTTCTCATGGGAGATGTTTTTGCCTACAGCAGTGTGTGGTTTTGACCAGCCAGCTACTCCAGTCCCTCCCAGGAGCCATCCAACCACCACCACCACCATTGTCCCATGGGCAGGCTCCAAAGAGTCTAAACGGAAAAGCAGACTGCAGCAAGAGAAGAGGGAATCAAACTCGAGCACATCACCATATGTTACGTAGTGTGTCAGACTTTCAGATCCTCCAAGTGTCAGTTATTTTTCCTGGAAGAGATTTTAATACGCAGCAAGGAGAAGATGCAGAGATGCAGACTAGAGACACAACACGTCCTGTGGAATGCACAAGGACTGGGCGAGCTGGGAGCCAGGATTACATCTGAAAGAGTTTTTCCTTTTAAACTTGACACAAATCCTTGCATTTACTTTTGGATGGACTGTGTACCTGTGTGTCACCCCAAGAGAGATCTGGTTTCCTTGCCCTCATGGGAGAGTTTTCCTGCCCAGCGCTCATGGAGCCAGCACAGAGAGCACAGCTGGCACAGGAAGCGCTCCCGTGGAGGTCCATGGAGGCACCCAAGTGTTGGCATTGTGGTGGCTTTGTCCTGCCCACTGGGTGAGCTCCAGAACAGCAAGATCTTGCTCCTGTAAATGGAGATGACTGTTTCCTGTGTTATGAGAGGATGCAGAATGGCTCCTCAAGGGACTGCACACCACCAGCTTCCCTCATCCCACACAGCAGCCATCGGCTTTAGCCTGGATCTGTCCCAAAGACTCATTTCAGGTCTTTCTTTGATTACAAGTTGGATCAATAACATTTAACCTGTATTTTTTAAATAGTCTGATTTGAAAATTTGCTTCTCATTGTTCTGTCTCCCATCACTCCTTTCAACTCACGTCACCGCTTGGGATTTTGCCTTTAGGTGTGTGTCTCTGTCGCCCACCTCCCCATCGTTGCCATTTTCGTGGTGCTCCCACTCCATCACTGAAGACACCAGCCATTTCTTCCAGAGCAGCTGAGTTATATTTTTTTCTGCCTTCTACAAGCACACACTTCTGTATTTCTGTTCTGCTGTGACTGATAGAGGTCAACTGCAAAATATTCCACAAAAATTGTTACATCTCTCAGAAGATGGAGAGATTTACGTTTGCTATAGGGCAGCAGCAGATTTCAAACCAACAGCAGAAAATCTTAGGCAAGCTCTGTGCACGGGATTCATACCGCTGGGGAGCCATGGCATGCTGGACATTGCAGATAATGAGTTTTGAGATCATTTTAAGGGAACTATTATCCACATTTTTAGGTCTCAGGGGCAAGTGAAAAGGTGGCAGTAGCAGAAAAAAAGTCTAAACATTGCTTGCCACTCAGTAATACTTATTAAGATTTTTTTTTTCCCAGGACTGTGCTGGAGTGAACATGGGCAGCAGGGCCAGATGGAGATGGAGTGAAGAAGTGGGCAGCGACCCACCAGCCCTGCTCAGTGACAGGGCAGAGCGGTGCCTTTTCACTGAGCCCAGAAACACAAGCTAAAACACATAGACCAGGCATTTCTCCATGTTCTTCTCACTCATTTGATAGCTAATAGCAGGCAGACCCCAATCATAAAGGCTACCTTACAGATGAGATCATCTTTTGCTTTCCTTTAAGCTTTTCTGGAAGGCTCCATAATTTCTCCATGCATGCTCCACAAAAGCCTTTGTAAATACAGTCATTGTTCAGTATCATTCTTCACCTTGAAGCTCTATTTGTAAATCCAAACCTATAATTAATATGTCGGTAAAAGCCATAGCTTGGTGTCAGTGGAGTTCATTGCAAAACTCCCCGCTGATGTTACTGGGTATAGGATTTGGGAGGTTTAGGGGTTTGCTTTTTCTGTCAGGAACCCAATTTGTCCATTATGAATCAGTGCCATGTCTTGCCAGAGGTCTCCTTTTCTTTCCTAGAGCAGCCTTTCTCCATCTAAAGATGTCTTGAAGAGATCCCTTCTTTAGTCAGTCAGGTTCTTCTGGTAGCTATGGCAATGTAGGATGGATCAGGCCAAACCATTTCGTCCTTTCCTTTCTCCACAACCTTTCTGCTGACACCTTCCCATCCTTCCTACCCAGCAACATTGGACCTGTCCCTCTTACATACCTCCCTGGCTCCATTTATGTAACATCCATTTATCTTCTTTTTTTTTCTTCTACACAAGAAGGAAAAAAAAAAGGGCTTTTTGTTGCTTTTACAGACAGTAGGTAAAAATAGAGCAGTAAAATTTTGATTGGAACCTGATGGCAAAAACTTGGGGGGGGGCGGGGGGGAGGGGAAGAAAGTAGAAGAATCAAAGAAATAAAAATAAAAGCCCCACATCTCATACTTTAAGGAGAAAAAAAACCTATTTAAGTGCTAATTAACATGCTTTAAAAAATACCCAGACTGCAGCAGGGCTAGGTAGAGCTGTCAGAAAAAGCACTAAACTTATGCTCTTGCCAGTTACATGAGAATTTAAGTGTCTTTTCAGCACAGCAATTCTGTACGAAAGGGATATTGCTATGGCAACCCTGGCTGTTCGTGACATGTGTGCCACCGTGTCGGAACGACACGCAGCAGTTGCAGAGACGCTCCCAACCAAACCAAGGATGGACAAACAGTTCCCAACAGCCCAGGACAACATTTCAGCTCACAGATTAGGAAATTATTAGCAAATTGGGAGCACCCCAAAGACAACTCTGTGGGCTTGGCCACCAAAAAAAAAAAGTGTGTGCAATTAAACTGATTGAGATGCAGGGAAGGCTTTGAGATGGACGTGGTTAATTAGCTTGAGAGAAGCTTTGGTTTGGGAGCAAGTGGAATCAGTGCAGTGTAAGCACTGCTCAACACAGGCTCTCTCCTGTGCTTGTTGAGGACACTTTAAGCAGGTCCTTCATGGAGGGATCGATCTCTGATGAGAAGAATTTGAGTTACTGCTCCTGCAAGGCACTGGGCTGCATTGCTGGTAACCATTGACTTTAACCTTTAACTTTAACCATTGGCTTTAACTTTAACCGTTGGTTTTAACTTTCAAGGCACATCCTGATTTTCTCCAGGCATCTGCTCCTGGAGAAGTCCATGAGGGAACAGCGGGCACGTGGCATGCTGGAATATTTCAGAGGTCATGGAGAAGCAAATTCCAGCAAAAACTGCTTACTCAGCAGGTCCAAAGCCATATTACAAGGCTAGCCATGAAGAAAGCCACAGGTGAGGAGTTATTGAGCAGGACAAGCATAGTAGGGTGGTGACTGTGGCCCTGGGGACAGGCTGTGCTACCCAAGAACTTCATCAGAGCCTGTCTCTCTCACCAAGTTCACCACTGAGAAATAATTTCTAATCAGATGCAATATCAGCAGCAATTTGAAGAATCAAAGAGGGTGGGCAACTGGGAACACTTGGCTTTGTTGGGGAGAATTTGCTCCTCACACTGCTGGAGGTCACGTAGGATAAAAGAGAGTCGACAAGGAGAAAGTAATCGTTTTCTATATTTGATGGGTACCCAGAAATGTGCCAGTTACTATTAGCAGACACTCTGTGCTGGTGAAGGTGCTCACAGACAGGGAAAGGGTCACCTGTGAGGAGAAGAGTGGGAGGTAGCAGGAGAACCAGCTACCTGCTCCCAGGTGAGATAGAGCTGAATATTTGAACATCTTCCGGTGGTTTGGAGAGATTTAATATAGACTATTGGGTGGTTATTGGGAACTCACATGTTGGATATGTTGCACTGGTAGGGTTGGAGGTTAGTTGCTTTTCATGGGAGACTTCCAGTGACTTTTTAAAAGAAAAGCTGTGTACAGAGATACCCACCTCCTCAAGCTGAGGCCAAGTAAATGGGGCGTTTGGTCCTTCTCCCATAAAAAATAGGATAGCAATCAAGCCAATCAAGGAAAGGTAGGAAGCATTCTCAAGGATGCTACTCTGGATGGCTGAAGTCTGTTTGACAGATTCAGATGAACGAAGTACCTCCTGGCAAACAGTTTTTTCC